ATGTATATCAAATATACCTTTAGTGTTGCCGGCCTTGTTGTCCGCTAAGTATTTGGGGCAGTTCCGCTTCCAGTGACCCTTCCCCTTGCAATAAAAGCACTCAGTCTTAGGCTTGGGTCCAGTCTTTGACTTCTTCCCGACAACTGGCTTACCGGGCGCGGCAACATCTTTGCCGTCCTTCTTGAAGTTCTTCTTACCCTTGCCCTTCTTGAACTTAGTGGTCTTATTGACCATCAACACTTGATGCTCTTTCTTGATTTCAACCTCTGCTGACTTCAGCATTGAAAATACTTCAGGAATGGTCTTCACCATCCCCTGCATATTGTAGTTCATCACAAAGCTCTTGTAGCTTGGTGGGAGCGACTGAAGGATTCTGTCAATGATCGCCTCATTTGGGAGGTTAATGTCCAGCTGGGACAGGCGGCTGTGCAACCCAGACATTTTGAGTATATGCTCACTGACAGAACTGTTTTCCTCCATCTTACAACTATAGAACTTGTCAGAGACTTCATATCTCTCGACCCGGGCATGAGCTTGGAAAACTAGTTTCAGCTCCTCGAACATCTCATATGCTCCGTGTTGCTCAAAACGCTTTTGGAGCCCCGATTCTAAGCTGTAAAGCATGCCGCACTGAACGAGGGAGTAATCATCAGCACGTGTCTGCCAAACGTTCAAATCGTCTTGCAGTGCTGGGAGAGCAGGTGGGTCACCTAACGGTGCTTCTAGGACGTATTGTTTCTTAGCAGCTATGAGGATGATCCTCAGGTTCCGGACCCAGTCCGTATAGTTGCTGCCATCATCTTTCAGCTTGGTTTTCTCTAGGAATGCGTTGAAGTTCATGTTGACATGAGCGTTGGCCATTTGATCTACAAGACATATTTTGCAAAAAGTTTTAGACTAAGTTCATGATAATTAAGTTCATCTAATCAAATTATTTTAATGAACTCCCACTCAGATTAGACATCCCTCTAGTCATCTAAGTGTTTACACGATCCAAGTCGACTAGGCCATGTCCGATCATCACGTGAGACGGACTAGTCATCGTCGGTGAACATTCTCATGTTGATCGTATCTTCCATACGACTCGTGTTCGACCTTTCGGTCTCCGTGTTCCGAGGCCATGTCTGTACATGCTAGGCTCGTCAAGTTAACCCTAAGTGTTTTGCATGTGTAAAACTGTCTTACACCCGTTGTATGTGAACGTAAGGATCTATCACACCCGATCATCACGTGGTGCTTCGAAACGACGAACTTTAGCAACGGTGCACAGTTAGGGGAGAACACTTCTTGAAATTGTTGTAAGGGATCATCTTATTTACTACCGTCGTTCTAAGTAAACAAGATGCATAAAACATAATAAACATCACATGCAATTATATAAAGTAGTGACATGATATGGCCAATATCATATAGCTCCTTTGATCTTCATCTTCGGGGCTCCATGATCATCTTGTCACCGGCATGACACCATGATCTCCATCATCATGATCTCCATCATCGTGTCTTTATGAAGTTGTCACGCCAACAACTACTTCTACTTCTATGACTAACGCGTTTAGTAATAAAGTAAAGTAGTTTACATGGCGTTCTTCAATGACACGCGGGTCATACAAAAATAAAGACAACTCCTATGGCTCCTGCCGGTTGTCATACTCATCGACATGCAAGTCGTGATTCCTATTACAAGAACATGATCTCATACATCACAATATATCATTCATCATTCATCACAACTTCTGGCCATATCACATCACATGACAATTGCTGCAAAAACAAGTTAGACGTCCTCTAATTGTTGTTGCATCTTTTACGTGGCTGCAATTGGGTTCTAGCAAGAACGTTTTCTTACCTACGAATAACCACAACGTGATTTTGTCAACTTCTATTTACCCTTCATAAGGACCCTTTTCATCGAATCCGCTCCAACTAAAGTGGGAGAGACAGACACCCGCCAGCCACCTTATGCAACTAGTGCATGTTAGTCGGTGGAACCGGTCTCACGTAAGCGTACGTGTAAGGTTGGTCTGGGCCGCTTCATCCCATAATACCGCTGAAGCAAGATAAGACTAGTAGCGGCAAGCAAGTTAACAAGATCTACGCCCACAACAAAATTGTGTTCTACTCGTGCAATAGAGAACTACGCATAGACCTAGCTCATGATGCCACTGTTGGGGAACGTTGCAGAAAATTAAAATTTTTCCTACGGTTTCACCAAGATCCATCTATGAGTTCATCTAAGCAACGAGTCAAGGGAGTGAGTTTGCATCTACATACCACTTGTAGATCGCGTGCGGAAGCGTTAGATGGAGCGGTGATGATGGAGTCATACTCGCCGTGATTCAGATCACCGGAGATCCTAGCGCCGAACGGACGGCACCTCCGCGTTCAACACACGTACGGAGCGTGTGACGTCTCCCCCTTCTTGATCCAGCAAGGGGGAAGGAGAGGTTGATGATGATGGCTCCAGCAGCAGCACAACGGCGTGGTGGTGGTGGAACAGAAGCACTCCGGCAGGGCTTCGCCAAGCACGTGACGGAGGAGGAAGAGGTGTAGCAGGGGGAGGGGGCGCCAGGACTTCAGGGTGCGGCTGCCCCTCTCCCCCTCCCTTTATACAGGCCCCCAGGGGGGGGGGGCGCCGGCCCTGGGAGATTCAGTCTCCCAAGGGGGCGGCGGCCAAGGGGGGAGGAGTGCCCCCCAAGGCATGTGGTGCGCCCCCCCACCCTAGGGTTTCAACCCTAGGCACAGGGGGTGGGCCTAGGGGGGCGCACCAGCCCACTATGGGCTGGCTCCCCTCCCAATTCAGCCCATGGGGCCCTCCGGGATGGGTGGCCCCACTCGGTGGACCCCCGGTACCCTTCCGGTGGTCCCGGTACAATACCGGGTGACCCCGAAACTTCCCGATGGCCGAAATACCACTTCCTATATATAATTCTTTACCTCCGGACCATTCCGAAACTCCTCGTGACGTCCGGGATCTCATCCGGGACTCCGAACAACATTCGGTATACTGCATACTCATATTCATACAACCCTAGCGTCACCGAACCTTAAGTGTGTAGACCCTACGGGTTCGGGAGACACGTAGACATGACCGAGACAGCTCTCGGGCAATAACCAACAGCGGGATCTGGATACCCATGTTGGCTCCCACATGCTCCTCGATGATCTCATCGGATGAACCACGATGTCGAGGATTCGAACAACCCCGTATACAATTCCCTTTTTCAGACGGTACGTTACATGCCCGAGACTCGATCGTCGGTATCCCAATACCTCGTTCAGTCTCGTTATCGGCAAGTCACTTTACTCGTACGGTAATGCATGATCCCGTGACCAAACACTTGGTCACTTTGAGCTCATTGTGATGATGCATTACCGAGTGGGCCCAGAGATACCTCTCCGTCATACGGAGTGACAAATCCCAGTCTCGATCCGTGTCAACCCAATAGACACTTTCGGAGATACCTGTAGTGCACCTTTATAGTCACCCAGTTACGTTGTGATGTTTGGTACATCCAAAGCACTCTTACGGTATTCGGGAGTTACACGATCTCATGGTCTAAGGAAGAGATACTTGACATTGGAAAAGCTCTAGCAAAACGAACTACACGATCTTGTGCTATGCTTAGGATTGGGTCTTGTCCATCACGTCATTCTCCTAATGACGTGATCCTGTTGTCAATGACATCTAATGTTCATAGTCAGGAAACCATGACTATCTGTTGACCAACGAGCTAGTCAACTAGAGGCTTACTAGGGACGTATTTTGGTCTATGTATTCACACGTGTATTACGATTTCCGGATAATACAATTATAGCATGAATAAAAGACAATTATCATGAACAAGGAAATATAATAATAATCCTTTTATTATTGCCTCTAGGGCATATTTCCAACACTAATCAACTCAACTATTACACAATCCAAGACCAGCTAGCAATTTAAATAAAATACATTATGACTTCTTCTTACCATCCATGCAAACCTAGATAGATTTCAATCTTTTCTGCTTCAAATAAATCTCCATAGCTGATATTAACGTTGTCATCGCTCATCAGTATACTTTTGTGCAGCGGTATATGTGCTGTTTACAACTAAAACAAGTCTGGCAAAAAAGGATATGGTCAGATTATTAAATAACTCAAAGCCCACAAACAAAAATACAAATTAACATAAATCAATGTGACCCTTGGAATATAGCATGTTCATAAGTAGGTTTCTAAAATTCCCGACCATTTTGAAAAAGTGCAGTAGTTAGATGTAATATGATAATTTCAGCAACAAATTGATAGACTATAAATGAAGCTAGAAAGATCAAATACAATAGGTTCGTGATGATGAACCTTTTTTTTTGCGGGAAGATAAACATTAATTGACTGCTACATATAAATCAATGCACTTCTCTTGGGTATATGAAATACAAAATCATAGAATAATGAAGTTGAAGCAAACAAACGATGAATGACATTTCAATTATAGCCAAATCCACACAAGATGAATGCTCGAACTTATGATCAATTGAATCATATGATACTGAAATATATGCCAAAAATGTCTGCCAATGAAGATGACAGTGACAAATCTAGCCATGTGAGTGAACTAGTGAAATCAATTGTAACACAATCCAAGGCCAGCAAGTAATTCAGCGCCCAAAATGGTTCATGCATGTTGCAAAATACTGGTTTAGCAAACATTTCTAACTGCTTGCTTATATAGCTGCTGAGGGGATATTAATTGGAGTTGCAAAACTAATTTTGCAATATAGAGCAGTGAACAAATCTTCATCCAAACATACAGGAAGCACATCTCTTTATTACATGGAATGGAACTTATTGATGTGCCAACTCATTTTGCAATCGGACTTATTAAGAATGTGTTCTACGCAAAATTGAAGAAAAAAATCATTCTATTCCACGACCAGATCGACAATTTAACAAGCAGCTAGAAGAAGAGGGACGACAAAAACTCCGGGAAAAATATGGAGGTGTATGTGCAGATGCTATAAGGCGAAGGCACCTAGGGCAGGAGAGTGCTGGCCGGGTGCCACGCATTGCCTCTTGAACAACTCCTGCAGGCCTTGCTCCGCCGTTGCCGTCGCCGCTCGCCCCCTCTTCACTCCCGAGATGTCCACACCGAATAGCCTAACGACGCGAACTTGTTCTCCTTTGGTAGTCACCCCCACCGGCAGCGGCGACGCCGATTTGCCTCCGTTCATGCTAGTGTTCTTCTTGCAGTCGATGAAGAACTGCTTCTCCTGTTCGTACAGCGAGCACGAGAATAGGATGGAGTCGCCGGCACCTAGGCCCTTCTCCCGGACGAAGCGGCTCCAGCCTTTGGTGAGCACGTAGCTCTGGCTGCTGTTCCAGTACGAGTACCGGAACCTCCACACCTTCCCCTCGCCGTCCTCGAAGTTGAGCAGCACGCCCTTGCCGGTGGTGGTCGGCGTCTCCGGCGTGCGCTTCAGGGGGAAGTGCTTCTCGGCGTGCTGCTTCGGCACTACGAGGCGATTGAGCTTGCCGACATCGCTAGGGGTCACGGCCTTCTCGAAAAGGGGCTCCCGCGCCCACGACGGCGTCGGCTGCGCGCGCCCCCCCATGCCACGGCCGCGCCGCAGGCCCTGGCGGAGTTCATCGGCGTAGGTCTGCTTCCGGAGCATGTCCACTATCTCAGCCTTGGAGTGCGCCGCCAGGAAGGCGAGCTCCCCCTCCACGGCCGCGCACGGGAAGTTGAAGGCGGCGTCGCGGCCGCGGTACCTGAGCGAGGCTACGTCGTAGGCGCGCGCCGCCGAGTCCTGGTCTGGGAACGTGCCGAGCCAGACGCGAGCGTGGCGCTCGTAGATCTGGGCGCCCCATCGCCCGTTTGGCTGCGGCACCACGCCCTTGAACCGAGACGACGCCGACCGCGAGGTCACGGACTCGTCGGCGATGGCGACAGGTAGGCTCAGAGGCCTCGGCGGTGTTCCGGCGGTGCCTGACTCCGTCGTGGCCGTGGACACGCCGGAAGAGTACTGGAAGGAGTACTCCACCATGGAGCTCAGGATTTCCACCCCCATGGCTTGTTGCTTTTCGGTGGTTTCTTGGCGTGTGTTCTTTGGAGTGTGTTTCTGTGTGCTTATGTGGGCTGTGATACTAGCTTAGCTAAGCTAGGTATATATGAAAATAATGTTGTGTGTGTATGTGTGTTTACACTTTAAGACGTTGATATTCTATAGCTAGCTAGGGCTGGACAAGATGACGAGATGGTTGCTGTGGGGTGTGTACATACATGTGTTGGTGTATATATAGATATTGTGGCGTTTCTTTTTTGGATGCACCTATAGTGTACACGTTATGTGTGGAAGTGGAGTTATATGTTGGGGCTAGTTTGTGGTTAATTTGAGGTGATGATGGAGAGTTTCATGTTTGCACCGCTCAGAAAGTTCCATATTACATGTTGTTTCCTGGCGTGTAGCAAGTGGGAGCTAGGTATTATTTTATTTTAGCAACTTGGATGTTGATGTATTGATTTATTTTTTACCTTGGTTGATGTATTGGTTTATGGTACAATGTTTTTTATGCATGTAGTACCACATGCTGGCTGTCCATCGCCCACATGAATAAGTAAAATTGGCTTATAGTGTACAAAAAAGTTAAATTGGCTAGAGGATATGCATGAACAATATACTTTTGGTACATATTAATTTGTTTAAATTCTGGCACATAATGCACAATTAATACGCTAGCTCTACTCCCAAAAATAGCTTGTAGTCAAGTTTCTTTATCTTGGACCACCAAACCCTAAAACCCTACATTTGGATTTCTTAGCTGTAATTGTATCGCAGATTTCACACAATATTTTTTTTGTGCAACCCAAAAGAAAAAGCTGGCCAATCCAAAAAGTAACACAGTTTATTATTTGTCAAAAGTTGCTCATTCGAGAATATGAAAAACCGAAACATCATTTGTTTTAGTAAACTCATGGTAGTTTTCTCATGTTTCCTTCCTTCTTGTTAGCTATGTACTTTGTTCTTTCTTACCAGGACCTTTCTTCGATCTTCATGATCTAGGACGGACATGCTTGCACACCTTCATAGGTCATGCACGCGATAGACAAAACAAATACTATTGATTCTTTTTTGAAGTCAAACCATTTCCGATACCACACGTCCTCAATGGAATAATTTAGTTCTTGTAATTGAAGTTACTAACTAAATTAATAAAAATTTACTTGCTTGAGTTTGTCATGCAATTTTCCTTTAGGTCATGTCAGATTAGGTCCCCTATTAGTGTGATTCTTTTCGTATTAGGGCTTGGACACCCAAATAAGAATAAAATCTTTCTAAATAATAAACAAAAACTTGAACATTTTACGAAGCAGAGGATCAAACCCCCAAAATTTCAAGTTGTGCAATTTTCCTTGGTACCAGTTTCCGTTTTCTACAACACAAAAAACTGATTTTTATGTAAACACGCGCGCGCGCGCGCACACACACACATGTATTATGTATCTGCAAAATTTCATAACATTTACTATCACATGTGGCATACAATAAAAGACAAATATGTTCCAAACGAGCCTCATTTTTTGGTCATTGGGCCGAAATTTTATATTTTTTTGTATGGCTTACAAATTACATTTTTCCAAAACAAAATTTCATGGATCCATGGTGAACATATACAAGTTTCGTCAGATTTTTTTAAATATGGTTTCTAATTGTTTCAATAAACGGACACCATAAATTCGCACCCATCAACCCCCAGCCTTGTAATCGAATGATGATGCCAAGCAAATCAAAGCTTAAATTCTAAAATCAACATCTTACAAAGTAAAAAACCCAGAGGCCATACAAAAAGGATCTGCCTCGTGGAAGTATACCCATAAGCCGAGTACAAACTCTATGACATGTGACCAAAAACTATAATTAAATCTAGTTTATAAAATATTTCATCATTGTGAGTCAGCTTTGTCGCACATACATTTAGCTTTGCACGGTTAAGATAAGAACAGAAATTTGATAATCTGGTCGACACATTAAGCTCTTGTTAACTTGGATTTTTAATTGGGCCTAATCCAATTCTGAAGTATATCGTTGGTTGCAAAGAGTATGAATCTTGGATGGAGTTTTATTCACAAAACTAAATGAATCGCTGTCAAAACGAAAATCGATTACCTGGCGGACCAATTCTACCCTTGTTGATATGGTCTGTCCAATGTTGGACATATGATTCTTTCTGTTGGCTAGGGATTATGTACCAGTACACTAGTAGAAAACGAGGCTTTGTCCAGGCCAGATAAGAGTACTAGTAGAAAATGGGCCATTTGTCCTGGTTCCAGAGGCCCATTAGCCCCGGTTCTGCAACCAGGACTAATGGGTCGAGACTAAAGCCCAACCTTTAGTCCTGGTTCGCTTACGAACCGGAACAGATGGTGCTCCACGTGGCCGTTGCGGTAAGCCCAGGCAGGAGGGCCTTTAGTCCCGGTTGGTAACACCAACAGGGACCAGATGGCATCCACGCGTCAGCAGCTCA